AATCTCAGACTTAGTTGCCATGGTTTATACAATCGTCGTAAAGAATTGAATAGATAGCCTTCGCCAACATGTAGGCCAAAGCCAGGCTTAACATCGAATGGGACGATCGTATGTAGGAGGCAGGGAGGGGCAATTTTCATTCATATTGGCGTAAGGTTTCAAGGTATTGTACTCAGGAAGTTCCATTTTGTACTCACCAAGAATCTGGCAAAAGGGAAGCTTATCACTTTCATTGTTGCACCAACTTGGCAGGTTTGTTTGGTTGTCCTCAAAAATCCTTAGCATATATGCATCCCGAATCTGCAGAACAGCCAAATTCAATGATCAAAAATGCTATGGAAGAAGAGGCAAGATCATTAACTATGAAACATGTTCCAGAATTTTGAGTCATACAGTGAACTCTGTTACTTGAATGGAGCTGGATATAGGACCAAATACTCCAGCCTCCTTGTACATTGCAAGGATAAAGGCAACACATGTTGTAGATGTCCCATCACTGTAGACCCATTCATCTTGTTCCGGAATTGTAAGCAGTACGTCAAAAGGAATTCCTCGCTTTTCAGTCTCGACTAGAATGTCATGCAAGTCCAAATCCTAAAAGGAACACGAGAAGTTTCATAATCTAAGTTATCATATACGAATGAGATGCTTTCATACAGAACTTTAGAGGACAACAAATGCTCTGACATTTCTGAAATATGAAAAGAAAAACAGGTAAATTTGGAGGATTATTTCGTAAAAGTTCGGATGATAAATGAAGAACTAGAATAATCAGATAGAAATGTGAAGCTAAAACAGATTTCAGTCAAATTTTCATGATCCTTTGTGCTTTGTATCACCATGCATATGGATTTCCAAAGAGAACCCTAGAGAACAATATTGTGTTCGTGCTCAAGACATTTTAGAAAAAACATTTGTCCATCAGCCATTAATCAAAGAAGTTCTCAAGCTTCAATAAGGTCTATCATGCACCGATCTATTTTTAAAATATTTCGAGCTTGTACCCACAATGTGATGAAGGGTATTCACACAGTTGCGCAGAGTAGCATTCAGGATAATTTATTCCATGGTAGTTTAAATAGTTTTTATAGATAATTTATGCTTCATTTGAGGATAGAGATAGGATGTGCAATGAATTTCGCTGCTATTGTTTGCTTGAGTTTGTTTATAAACAATGTGAGGGTAAAGGCCCTCGTCCCAAAAACTAAATGTCTAAACCACCAAGAAATTTTATTTTCATGTCAGAGCATAACTCAATAAATAAAGATCTATTACCTTGCTACTTGCTTGAGATATCTCTCAATTCAAGCCATCCATAAAATAAGGGAATAGAACCACTCTAATTACAAATAGTTCTCCTGATACATTTGCCTAATCCTCCCAGAACTCGTTCCCTCAAAATCCTTTACCCTTATAGTATTTAGATCGACTCTTATTGACCTTTACACCAACCCACCGTGGTCTTAAGTGCTCATATTGATTGTGGGTTGTGAACAAGAATTAAATTCTATGAGATCCCTTTTTCCTCATTCTTAATAGCCAATGGAAGGGCAATCAACTATTAACTACCGTATCAAAGGCTTGAAATGTTTAGTTTTCACTTCAATAGTGAAATTTTGTGGGGTAAAAAGGCTGGCATTCAATCCTAGTAAGTTCTCTTTAAATTTGATGTGCTGAAAATTTTCTCAATCGCTTTATTTGTCTACAGTTAATGTGTCAAGATTGCTGACATACCTCAGTTCCTAGCCGCTTGTTCAGAGCCTCATTCCACATGTTTGCAGCATATGCTGGCTGCAATCTAGTCCACATAGACATGACAGAAATAACCTGCAAACGAGAACTTGTCAGCAAGAAAAATTACACGAGAGGTCCTTCATACATGCATTGTCCTTAGATATGTATGTACATATTTATGCATACACACACATAACCAACAAATGCATTACTATAATATCCTCCTCCATGTCCACCGAAACATGAATGAGCACACTTGCTACAACAGAAACATGACAGGGGGAAAAGAAAACCAAAACCTACCAAGTGAGCATCAAGAGGTGGAGGAAAGTTATCGGTTACGGTATCAATCCAGCTAAAAATCATGTTATGATAACCATATGGCTTCCCAGACATGCTTCGAGCATATTCCCATGCTGCAGTAGAGTTGAATTTTTCACGTATCTCTGGATGCAGCGGAAGCAAGGCTATTTGTGGATTAGAATTGTCCTTGAGTGCCAACTCCCACCACTCATCCCACGGAATCACCACAATAATTTCTTCACCCTATTAGACACATGAGAAAATTCTCCCCTTAAATTAAAAGCTCAAGAGCTTCATTTCTAATCCACTATCCTGTTTTTTCATAGTCATATGCATTTGTTGAAATATAAACGGCCAAACGAAGCTTGCATACCTTCTCATTCTCATGTCCTGATTCACCAACCCAAAGATTACCCTGTTCATCCTTCAAGCAAACTGCTGTATGACCAGCAAAAGCACCTGTTACCCACTTTTCTAATGTCTCAAAGCCTCCCCACCGTCCACGGATTTTTGACACTGCTAGAAAATCACCAGAATGAACATCATCTGGATTAATAGTTGCTTGCCAAGGTTGGGATCGCTTTTCAAATGTAGCACCCATGTGTTTTTTAAGAAAAGCTAAATTGGCATTTTCGCCCCATACGGAATTGGAAAACAGAGGCAACACATCTACCAAAGAGAGCATTGTTCCCATCATCCCGGACGGCATAAGAAAAACAGAAATCCCATGTTGCTTTACCTGCTCAAGTGTCATATGTCATGGTTAGCAATATGCAAGGAAACTACAAATTAGAGCATTAGATAACGAAACAAGAACACAAAAACATACATATTCCAACTCAGCAGGTTCTTCCCATGACCCAAAATTCAATGTATGCTCCCGTGCAGAGAAATAGTAATCCCACGTAACCCTGTAGGGTGTTGCAAAAACATATAGATCCATACAGGTCCAGCTGTGTGCTGCAGATGTCTATAAAATGGGGGGGAAAGGAATAAACAAAGAAATATACGTCATAATGTAGGTTCGCACGCTTATACATATCGTTAAATAGTCTAAATTCTATGGTAGATGACCACCCAAAAACTTGCTTGAAAATACTCTCTACAAACCACTAATATAAACAACAAACGCACTCAATCTTCTGCCGGTGGATATAGAATTCGATTAATAATTCAACTAAAAACGTGGACGAAGCATCAAAACCATAACAGTATTTGGTATACAAACTAATCGAAGTTGCTTAAAATTAACGACCTCCGTGCCAAGGCCAATGCAAGAAAATTGCATTCAACAATTTGAAGCTCAGCCCAAACTCCGAGAAATTCTTTAAAAACAACATGGCAATCCATAAAGAACAAAAGGATCACAAACCTTAAGACGGAGAAGACCGCCTCCCAAGCCTCTATCGCCTACCGTAAAATCAATCCGAGCTTCGTTAGTGGAGAAGCACGCTCCTTTCCACTCAATTGTTCCATTACTGGGAGTCACAGACCCAACATAGGACGGCAACAAATCCACGGCAGAATGGAAATTATTAAGCACCGGCCACGATATCTGTCGAGGAAGAACCGGAAGCACATCGTTGGCCGTGAAGGGGAGGTTCATAGCCAGACCCAAATTCGCACCGAAACGTAACGCTAAAGCGCAAAGAACCAATACCCATATTGTTGATCGTAAAGAAGACATGGGATTGGTATCTTGTGGAATCAGGTCTGGACCAAATTCGAAGCAAAATTTGGGATTGAAATTACAGAAAAGGGAAGCGAACCCTAGGGACAATGGTGCATAAAGGAACAATCAGGACTGGGATTGGTTGTGAAAATCCATGTGGAATGAGGTAAGAGAAAGCGGAATTTGGAGGAATTTGGAGGAATTCCTGTTCTATCGAGGGATCCGATCGACGTAGGGGTTGGTCAAGGCCAGGGAGAGAGGCCTTATCAACGACGTGGCGAGCGCGAAATACTCGAAATACAGTATTTGGTATACGCGAAATACGTGGCCAGTCTACAGGTATTTTCAAATTTTGATTTTTTAGTCTAAATTTAAGATATCTTATAATCTAAATTTAAGATGTCTTGTTTTAAGATTAGACAACAAGATTAGATTTGGGGAGCCTAATTTTTAATTTCTCTCCCCTTTAAAAATATTTAATCAATTTTAAATACAAAAAACTTATTAGATAAAAAATTAAATATTCAAGGTTAATTGAACACCAACTTAAATTTAAGAATTTATTGATCAAATAAACACTAACACTAACTTTAGAGTTCGTGAATCTATTAAATATTTTTCATTTTTTGTTTCAAATTTTATCCGCATCAAATTCAATTATTAATATAATAAATACATGGGTAGGAGAGAGTAAATCAATCTGTTGGAGGATGAAAACGACTACATTTAGAGAATGATCATAAGTTTTAATCAAGAAATACTCTCTCCATCTCCATCCATTGGTGTAAGGTTTTTTGGAGAATCCCAAAGTAAAACCAGGAAAGCTATACTCAAATAGAAAATATCATACAATTGTGGAGAGTCTAATGTTCATATATCATACCATTGTAGAGAGTTAGTGTTCGTCTAACCCACTCAACTATACCATCGTGTTTTTTGTAAGAGAAAAGAAGAAGAAGAATATCGGAGATAATTATTAAGAATCAAGCTAAAACAAAAACGAAGTCAACCACGGACTGGAAATAGGTATTATATGAAGTTTTGTTTGTAAAAAAAACATTGCCCAAACTACTGTTCATCAACTGTATACAAAAGGCTTTAATCCCAAGCTACTCTCATACCTCAAATCACATTCACCCAATCACAGAAATCGAAGCCAGTATAGATTTCAAAGATGTTCATGAATGTCTATTTTCAAACAAACAGCCATTCTTGAAATCAAAAGGCCAAAAGTTAGTTTCAATTAGACGGGTCAATGATTAAAGAAATGCTATCGAATAATAATATTATATACTATTAGTTAGTCCAGCATTTTAATATGCGAATGAAATGATGCACAACCCTAGACTTTAGAGGCAGAATCATTGATCAAGTCTGTAAGCAACTACTCTTTGAACTTCAAAAAAAAAAACGATCAATCTAGAAAACGGTCAATGATGCAGCACATGGCTGCTCAAATACCCAAGGCGGCAAAACCTTGAGATATATTGACAATGTAGACAAACTTAAAATATCCTAGCAACCATTTGATTTACCTAGTCAATCCTCTAGCGCAAGAGGCATAGACCTGAGTTTGGAACACAGTTGGCGGAGTAAAACTGGTACTTTTGGTCGATTCAAACACCGTACAAGAAGCAGTTTGAATAGCAAGGAAGAAACAGAGCAGTGTCTTCAATAGCTATTGGTTGCCGGAATGGATTTAATTGAATCTGCAAGGTGGTTGGATGTTTTGTGAAAACAAAACCAAATTGATAGTGATGCTCTTGGTGTTAAAAGAGGGGCACCGGTGGACTTACCGGGAACGTAATGGGGTGGCCTATCACACAGCTCAAACAAGAAGCACCAAGATGGCAAGCTTCTTCACAGAAATCAGAAAAGATTGCTGGAACATTTATCTTCTTAATAAGTTCCTGTTACGTTCATCCAAAGAATTGAGTAAGATAATGAGTATAAGAAATAAGAAAATGCTCAATTTATACAGTTTTACTTCTAAGTCTAAATTTACATGCCTAAAACTACTACATGCAATAAATCATATGGTCGTTGGCCAAGAATGTCAACATACAATAGTAGGTAGCCAACTGGAATAGGCAGCAATTCCAGCATTTGGAGCAATGATTAAGTGAGGATGATAATTCTGTCCCGATAAAACAAGTAGTGAGAAGCAGCCGGAAGATCATGTAAGATGAAAAGTGAGCGTGAAAGAAATAACTGAAACACTAGAAGATTGTTTTCTTTAGGGAGGGAGTTCGAGAAAGAAACTAACTTCGGTAATGGCTTTGTAACAATCATGGTAAAGCCCTCTCCAAAGCTTCAACGCCAACCTTGGACGTTTATCAGAATATACACCCCTGTTGACGTCTTTGCTTGAATATTTGCAAACACAATCCATCTGTAGGCATTTAGCATAACTGGAAAGGTCAATGCTCTCACCATCCCTAGCAATCCCAAAGCACCAAGGAAAAATCAAGTGCCAGTTTTAAAAGATTTTCTGATATTGTAATTTATAATGTTTCATAATTGATAGTTAATAGCCAAAGACACAGTAAAGATGTGAGAAAAGGACTAGAGGTAAAGGTAACTTATTTGAATCCATCCTGTCTTCAAGAAATACAACTTACATTTCTTCGGGAATTCTAGGCCCAACAAGCTCTATGTGTATTGTCACCCCGGGGAAAAGTGCAAGCAACTCAGCAAAGACAGAGAGCTGTAAAAGCTCCTTCTCAGGCCCTGATGGCATTGAGCCCAAAAAATGAAATTAAATATGAAATATAACAAGACTAATAGAAAGATATAATCGAACTTCATGATGTAGGTCTGTATGTCTGGGTTTGAGTATCACTCAGTCGCATCGTTAAATAAAGTTTTTTCAACTGGCAGAAAATATTCCTAAAATATACACAAAATCATCGTGTAGAGAGAGAAAAAGTTTCAAAATTCCAGTGTCCTGCCAAGGTGGGAAACAACCAACATGCAATGGAATTATCACAAAGGAAACAGCACTAATAATAAACTTTATCATGTGTTGCCATTCCAATATATAGGACGGAAGTGCCATAATAATAAGTTTTAAGGCTAACAACAACAATAACATGACCTTGGAGATTTCAGCGAGGGTCAGAATCTCCAGGGAGCTCAGGACATGCATTTCAATCATTCTTAATTTCTATCGGAGCAAGGGAGCTTCAAGAAAAGGAATGTAGAGAGTTATTCGTTTACTTATAATTTTGTTTGAATGGATAAGAACCTCTCAACGAGAGTAAGTTTGTTTAGTCCACATACATCGCTAGTAGTTTGCAGGCGCTAATATTTTGGCACTGCAATATTAAATTTTTATTTCCAATTCTTGGTCTCCACTCTTTCTGTGGAAATTGGCAAAGAAATGCCCAGCAAGTACATTATCTTCTAACAAAAAGATGTGCTAATGATCAATTGGGGCACAATGAAGAAAGTATACATAGTAAAATTCAATGATATTATAGACCATTTTTCTAAGAGGAAAAAATAAACATGTAAAGTAATGGTTCTCCAATGTTTAGTCCGGCAATACATAAGATCCCCAATTTTATAAGGTCTGCAGCTTTCATCACTCCAGATACGTTATACATCGGAGAACCAGAAAACTAACATCAAGAATGGATTCACACAACAGCAAGCAGATCCTTTGAACACGATGTTCTGTATAAAATATGCTCGAAAAGTTCCAACAGCAGAGTTGCGTATACTTTACTTCAGTCATATCAAGAACTATTTTATGTCAGTGCAAAAACATTTGGAACTCTATAACAAATTTGTACCCAATAAATTTCCTTCCAGTATTCAAGACTAACCAACAGGAAAAATATTGATTTAAAAAAAAATGCATATAAGAAAAGTCTGTTTGTTGCAGTCAGTATCTTAACATGAGAGAAGCATCTAATTAGATATCCAGTATGGTTACACAACCAGAGTTACATTCTATAGCTAGTATATCCAAATGAAAAATAAACATCCAATATGAGCCGGATGTCCAAAAAAAGCTTGGAGATAAATCATACCTAAATAGTGTATGCGTAATGTGTCACCAAATTCTGGAGTCAAGGGTTCCAAACCAGCAACCTCCATAGCATAACTTATTGTAAGTGGCTGAATTGAGAGATAGAGGGCACATAAATGTTCATCCTATGATGAATATCTTTAAATGAAATCAGAATTTCTTCAGGCAAACTATTTGAATTTCATGCCAATAGTTTGGACCAATTATTTTACAAATTTCGTTCTAAAAGAACTTTTTAGATAATGACAAGCCCACATATAAGGATGCTGGACACAAAAGTTTTTTTTTTTTTTTTCTTAGAATCCATACTAAATAGAATCTAGAATATTGAACGAGATGTAAATCTGAGAAGTCATATTAGGACCAAAGTTAAAACTTCAATATATTATGTGAGATTGATTATGATGCTGAATAACTTGATTAGAGTCCAACCTCATCTAGTTGTAACATACCCAATGAAGAAGCAAAGCAGCAGGAGAGTGAAGGGGAATGCATCTCCAATCATAATAGTCCTTCCAACTGTGTAAACGTTTTGTTATTGGGGAAAGCGGTTCTGCATGTTCATTTGATTATTTCTAGAGGCCTTAACTTCACAGAACAGAGCTAGGAGAGAGATGTACCACTACATGGACAAGAGATTCTAGGTAGAACCCAACTATCATTTAATCTGCAAGTGAAATAGAAATGGCAGAAATAATTAATGGTGAATGTCAAAGGTCCCTCCACAAATAGAACAACTTGCAGATAGAGACCTTGAGTAATCATAGGATGTAGCAGCTTCTCCACAAGGACACTCATATAACCACATTCCGACTTTGTGGATGTCCCTTTTGCTCAAGAATGAACACCTACTCACCTGCTTTTGACACAACTTAACAAAAACAACAGCAAAGGCAGTTCAACAAATTATGTTCAAAAGTAGAGTGTAAAATCAGTTTTATGGCCGAATATTTAGGGTAAAGGATGCAATATCCTATGAAGATATTGATACCTGAACAGCCTCCTCGGAAAATGTGAAAGGAAACTCGTACAAGGCATCTATTCTCTTCATTTGTTGCTCAAACCTTTTGCATTCATCTTTATGATCATTCCAATGTTTAATCTATGAACAATTGTTAAATAAGATGATGGCTTACAAAATGAAAAGGTGCGACAGGATACGCCAAGTAACTTTACAGCTCCAGTGGCATTTCCTATCCTCCTCAGTAGCAATAGGCAAGTAGAATAACCTTGCAGCTGGTGTTCTTTTTCAGATTCAGAACACCGTGTCTTACAAGATGTTGAAGCATAAATTAAAAGACATTCAAAGAGCAACACCAATTATCAACTATTTTAAGCTACACCTTAGAGTAACTCACTCAAATTTTGGTGAATTTCAAACTATCAAAGTTTCTACAGTTCCTACGATGTCGTAGAATCGTCTTAAAGCTTAAAACAGAACTCATATGTCAAAATTCAGAAAGGTTTGTAAACAGAAAAAGAACCTGGTGATCGGCTGAACAGTAAGCAACAGCTCCGCAGCGACCACAGCGTCGAATCGCCGGGCCAATGCAACGACTTCCTCGTCCCTTGCCGGCACACTCCATTTTTTCCCGGTTCCAGATGAGTTCTTTCGCGCCTCGAATCGAATGATAGCACTGGAATTGGGCCTATTTGGGCCTCCTCCTTCTTCCATTCTTCTGGACCGTAACTCGGATCTGTGCAAGTAACCGGTCCATTGGGGGAGTTCTCCTACAAAAACTTTCCAAATAAACCGCCGAACTTAAAAATAAAAATTATGTTAATTTTATTGATTAACTAAATAATAATAATAATTTTCACGCTATAAAAACATCATGTGAAATAAACTTATAAAGTAAAATCAACAGAGACTACATATATTTTTTTTTTTTAAATAATATTAAAAATATATGTTACTATAATTTTTTTGGAATTTTAAATATACAAAATTTTATAAATAAATAAATATGAGTAAATCTATTAATGCAATATGTGAAAAAATATAAAATAAAATATACTTTTCATACTTATATTTTAAGTTGTAACTCTATGCTTAATTATGTTCATTATTGTCATTATTTTTGGCAAATGATAATATATATATTTTTTAAACAAATAAATATAAAGTAGAGGGGGGACATAATATTACCGGATGAAAGCAGCATGTAGCAATTGGCATAGCTTTTTAAGCATGTGAATTTGTTGTAATTCAAAAGGTCGGATAGTTCTTGGATTCTTTTTTCTTTTTCTTTATCCAAATTATTTTGATTTTGACTTAATCATCGTGTTTATACTTAATTTTCATATTAACCCGTTATCATTGGATAATCCTATTGCGGATAACACATTATGTCGGTGAAGATATAATAAATATGTCCCAAAAAAATATTGTTGTATTTATTTTATTTAATTTTTTAAATCTTAGAGAAAATCATAGATAAACATACAAAATATTCGTATCCCACCAAATCAAACATTGATTTAAAACTTAAATCAACCAATAATATATAAAAATTCCACCAAAAAATTAAATAAAAATAATTATTATTTTGATTTTATAATGACAAGACAAGGAAGAAGATAATGGGATTGGTGTGTTGTCGTGATCTAACAGATTGGATAATACAAAATTTCGAAACAACAAAATCAATGGGAGTCCTCCAAAGATTGGGGTGCCACTTTTTTATTTATTTATTATTATTATTAAATATATTAATCTCGCTCGAGTCTCTAAACTTTATATCTTTTAGAATTAAATAGCATTTTATACGAAAATAATAATAATAATAAAAGAGCATAAAAATGTCTAGTATCGTGGAATATGGACCGTTTTAAAACCCTAGTTCGAGTGAAAGGCATTGCTATAAAAAAAATATTAAAAAAATAAAGAATATATATTTATTTCCTGTTTATCCTAAATTAAAAAGAATTATATTTTTTTGTTTTGTATAACGACCGTACAGAGGGGACGTTATTGGGCTAATTTTATGATTAACGAAATACGGTGAATAAACAAATTGTGAAATAAACGTGGCCATTGGTGATGGGGAGTGGGCCCATAATCTCAAACTTAGATCAAGATTCCATTTTGACTAAGCCCATTATGTTTTTTTTTTTGTTTTTTTAATTTAATTTTCCTGGGAATTGTAATTATTATAATCATCGTGTCGTGTTCTATGTTCTTTGTGCCTTTGCCGTGTCCAGAGTGAACAAATATTTATGTTCTGTTTTTCTACTTCAAATGCTTTGCCATATATAAGATTCTAATATCTGTATAAAATATATTTTTTAATTCCAAATTAATGGAACACGTTACAGTCTACGTGGAAAATGAAAGAACATCTAATGAATTTTGTATTTTATTTTCCTTTTTTATATTGGTTTATAATTTTGTTTAAAATAATAGAATTGTCTTTTGGGACGTTGGGAAGCTCCATACAATAAATATAATTCCAAACAACAACAACAATAATAATAATAATAATAAACATGCTTCCGCCGTCTTTCTTTTTGTCTTGCCAGACGCATCACAATTGCATCAAAATTAATTATTTACCTACAAATAAAAATGTATATTTTTCATACTAATCTTCTAATTTAATTTAAACTTTTGCATTTAAGTAAATATAAAGATTTTTACCCTGGTTGAATTTAATTTTTAAATTTTAATTTAAAGTTTGAAGATTAGTAAGTATACACGAATAAATAATTATTCAGCCGGTTGAATTTATTGTATAGTTTAAAAAATGTCTTAACTAAAACCATGAACTTGTCCGAAAGATAGTAGAAGACGTAAATTTAAGGAGGAAAAACAAATGTACGGTTAGAAATATTAATGAACGAATGACGGGACTCAACCTACACTTGAATTTGTCTATAATTTGTGAGTACTTGAATAGTAGGTTAGCACTCTATCTACAACCGAGTAGGTAATTCCTAGTGGACGAAGGTATTTAAATAATACAACTAAACACTTTAATATCTAACAACTGTATATACCCAATAATTTACTAACTCACTTTCTTTTCTTTTCATCTTCATAAATATTTTTAATTCATTTTGAATATTAAATTAAGGTACGCAGAAAATGACTACTTCGGTTATAAAATTATTTAACTAATTTTCATATACCGACCAACTTACAAACTAAATAAAATACTGCTCGTTCTTGTTAGAAAGATTTTCAGTTGTATTCTTCATAAATTTGAAAGTTTTATTTTAATTTGTATTTACCCATAATTAAATATATATTATTTGTAACAAGTCAAACTCTAGATCGCATATATTGTTTTATTTCGGTTTTATTTTGTAGGTTTCCAATCAAAATATAAAATCTTACGTCAATTGGAAAGTAAAACGAAACATTAGTTATAAAAATATGAAAATTTATCCATAACATACGGGTTTAAAATCGTGAAGTTGACAACGATATGTAACGGGCTAAAGCGACACTAGGCCCCAAGGGAGCTGGATTGTGAAATCTCACATTGGGTGATAGGGAAATGAAACGTGTTTTATAAGGACGTGAAAACCTCTTTCTAACAGACGCGTTTTAAAACTGTGAAGTTGCAGCGATACGTAACAGATTACATCGGATAATATCCATTAGCAGAAGAGGTTTCAACACTCGAATATTTTGTTCCCGACTTGCTAACTTCAATCTCATAATTTTAAAACGCTTCCACAATAATGGTACAAAATAGAAAATAAGGGAAGAACTGAACTGACTACGAGAAACCCCAAAGGCAAATCAATCTTGGGAAGGCAAGGCAAGGCAAGGCAAGTCGAGTCGAGTACTTTTCTTCTCTTAATGTTTTTCTGTTTAATTTTCCTTTTTTAATTAATATTTAAGATGTCGTGGGTCCCACACTAGATTTCATCGGGACTCCTCCATATCTTCAAATTCTCTCTCTCTTTGTTTTTTTCTCTATTTACCCTTTTGACTTTTACGTTCTTCTTTTTTTTAACTTTAGTTAAATGTAAAACCATGAGGTCGCCACGTGTCCTACATTCCGCAACCCACGTCCACGACTATGTAAGTCCCAACAAAATTTTCACCGCAGTAATTTGTGTTAGTTAATGACTCCGATTAGAGCAGAGCAGATGGTGTGTCTGGTCTGTTAGGGAACTGCTCGGTCATTTCTTCCCTTGGGATTTGACGGCGTCGTGTCGTCCTTGGTTGACCTCGGTCAACTCAATCAACCTACTTCGATTTGATTCCAACGCGGGTGCACGTAGTCCAATATGTTGACCAAAAAAACCCTTGTCGCTTAAAATCTCGTACACGATAACCAGGGGTGGCGAGGAGGAGATATCGGGCAGATTGCGTTTATTTGGAGATCTGACCCAAGTGGATTTGAGAATCTCATCCTCCGTATCTTAAACGTTAGTTTAAAATCAAAAGGAAAGTGAAATAAAATATTAAAAAGAGCTGATTTGGGATTTCTCAGAGAAGGAGAGGTTTGATTTCCCCGATAGGGACTTCTTAAGGACACAAACATACCGTCTTGTCCTCTGTTTTAACCCTCCCACTTCATAAACCGCTTTATATTACCCTCTTCCATCGCCCCTCTTCTCTTCAACCTTCATCAATTTCCCTCTCCCAATCCATGGCTAGAACCCCTGTTTTCTCCCGCCGGCGGAGGTCCGATCAAATTGACACTCGAGATCGCTTCCCCACCTCTGATTCCGAAGTCCATGTTCTCGCCGTCGATGATAGCCTCGTCGACCGTAAAGTAATAGAGCGGCTCCTCCGCCTCACCGCCTGCCGAGGTCAGTTCCTACCTTGTTATAATTTTGATTGTTTATTGGGAAATTCATTTATGGGTTTTGTTGGGTTTTTTCAGTTACTGCTGTGGATAGTGGAATCAGAGCTCTACAATATCTTGGATTGCAAGATGAGACGAATTCCCAAGTGGGTTTCGATGTAAGTGATCCGGGAATTGTAAATTTGAAGTCGTTTTCTTATGGGTTTTCGTTTATGAACTTTTTGGGACATGGGTTTGTGAAAAAACAGAGCTTGAAGGTGGATATGATCATTACCGACTACTGTATGCCCGGAATGACAGGCTACGAATTGCTCAAGAAAATAAAGGTATAATTTCTAGCTTTTGATTGAAATTCGAAGAAGGGAAGTGGGAAATGGAGTGTTAAACTGAGTGATGAACAGGAATCTTCAACTCTGCGAGAGATTCCGGTGGTGATTATGTCGTCGGAAAACGTGGTGGCGAGGATAGACAGGTGTTTAGAGGAAGGAGCAGAGGATTTCATAGTGAAGCCGGTGAAATTATCGGATGTGAAACGGCTGAGGGAATATATGGTGGGGGACGAAAAGACCGGAAGTGAAATAAGTTGGATGAACAAAAGAACGGTACGAGAGTCGTCGTGTGATGAAGCCTCATCATCACCGTCCATTTCATCCGATTCTTCTCCATCATCATCATCATCACCGTCCATTTCATCCGATTCTTCTCCATCGTCTTCATCACCGCCAGATTCGGTTCAATCCACGCCGTCCCCATCAGAGCCGTCTTCACCGACGTCCACCCAATCCGACGACGGATCTAAATGAGAACAGCAGCTCATCATCCCCCCTTGTTATTATTTTAGAAAATTTAAACATCTTCCTCCTCTTTGTTTCTCCCTTCCCTGTCCTGTCAGTTTTAACGGTTATTAGTTTGAAATCCCAGTTTTGTCACCGTTAAGTGTTGGCGTTTAGGTTACCGCCGTTATTTTCTAAACCGCAACGCGTTGGGGTTGTCCGATCATTTCGGGGGACAAGGCATGAGCCGTGATGTACAATTCATAGAGTTCAATCATATAAATATATATTTAAAAAAAAAAAAATTGAAAAATTATCTATGAATATTTTGTCATTTTGGGGTTAATTTTCTTTGGAATTATAAAATTGGTCAATTAATTATTAACATTACAGAATATATAATTCAATTGCTACTTTCTTTATGGTTATGACGTGGAAAAAAAATGCATGAATTCAACAACAACAACAATAATAATATATAATAAATTCAAACAAAAAATCTAATTGAATAAAAAAAAAAGATTTTCATACAAAATATAGGCTGGTTATATAGTAATCAAGTTGATGAAAAAGAAAGTCCAACTCAATGAATTTTCATAATATTTAAAAATAAATAAATAAATAAATAAAGTTGGTTTTTTTTTTTTTTTTTTTTGGGCTGGAAAAGTCATTGGATTCTTATGTTGTCAGGAGACATGAAGCCAAGAGAGAGTCGAGGTTTAAAGGTTGTCGGTGTGTGTGTGGTCCTGAGATTAGATGGATGGGCCAACTAAGTGGCCCATCACCTACTTCAAATTAGGATTTGCCTTTACAGATCGAAAATGGGCTTTTCCTTTTTTTATGGAAGGCCCATTAACAATCATGCCATTCACTTTCCCTGATCTGAAAATTTCTCCATTTTTTTTTAATTTTTTAAAAAGAACTTTTTTATACAATCAAGGTGTATTAATTATTGTCCTTTGGGTAGTGTTTCATTGACTAAGGGCGGGTGGCATTTGTCAAATGCCACGGCTATTAGATATTATCCTTTGGGCTTTCCCTCATGGTTTTCTCCTCAAGGTTTTTACAACTGTCGACTAGAGGGAGGTTTCTACCGTTTTAAAAGAAATGTTTCATTCCTTCCAACGAATATGGGTCTCACAATCCTTAGAGACTCAGCATTTTTCCCTCTACAACCAATGTAGAATTTCATGATATCAGAGCTAGACACTAGGTGGTGTGCCAGCAAAAAAAACCTATCTTAAAACAGGGAAGAAAAGGTAGGACTTTTAAGTTGTTTGGAGATGGGAGAGCGTTTACAATTGAGGAGATTTCACATTGCAATTTGAAGGTAATGGAGGAGTCGGTCAATGTCTGTATGCACGCCAATGAAGGGAAGCATGGAGGCATCAATGTCAACAACTCACCCATTTCCCCCCCCTCCCCCCAAAATTTGGATCCGTTTCCCACCTCCAATATTGCAAAACCTAATCTTTTATCTTCAACTTAGGGTTATACCAATGGATATACTTTTTTCTTTTTATTTTTTTATTCACTCAATTATTACCATTTCAGTCCTTAAATTAAGCTGAATAGAATTGGTTTAAATAATTTAGTATTCTATTTCAATTTTATTTTTAATATACATTTTTACCAATTAAATTTGTGGAATATTTTAAAAATCTCTAGAAACTCAGCATCAACACAAAAAATGTGGTTTAAAGTAAATTTAGGTTTATTATTATTATTATTATTATTATTATTATTATTATTAAATAGGAAATTAGTGCCCCAATTATTGAAACCCAAGTTGATAGAATAATTAAAAATTATGGAGAGAAAGACCAAATAAAAGAATCAAAGTTGGTGACCTACTTCCTACCCTCACCCATCTTCCCTCACCTTCAAACAAATTAAATGCCTCTCAATATCCTTTACTTCATTTTCCAAAAAAGAAAAAAAGAAAAAAAGAAAAAAACAACTTTATAAACCAATGGCAAATTGCAACAATTTTGGTCAACTTCTTCGATAAATGTCGGTTGAAAAATTAAATTTTTTAGAGAAAAAAATCTTCATAATTTGAGAATACCATTAAATAAATAAATAATTAATTAATTATAATAATGGTATTATAAAATTTATGATTATCGCACCCAGCCACAGCGAGTTGTATTAAATTTTGTCAACGTCAACTCGGTCGGGCTTTGCATTCATTTGACTTTGACGGGATCATCATTCCATCCATCCAAACCCTAATTTCCTTCCCTCTTTATTTCATTATTTTTTATTTATAACATTATCATTTCAATTATTAATCAACGAAGATTTACTTTTTCTATGGTTTTTTTTTTAATTTGTTTTGAAAGGTTAAATTAACGCGTAACGCACATTTCAAAAGTGGGAATATAATAATTTCAATTTCAATTAAATAACTGAGTCCAGCTGTGTAATAGAAGCTTTTTTGGCAACTTATTTATTTATTTAAATTTAAATTATAAAGAAATTAATTGGAGGAATTTACTTACATTGAAGAAGAACAACAACTCAACTAACTGCTCGCATTGAAACTGTCAGCCACCAAACTCCAAAACACACACGACCATCTCTTTTTACCTTCATTTTCAAAGCTTCCATCGTTTGCCATATTTTTGCTGCATTTCCTTTACCTTTCCCCCGCTCTCTCTGTTTCTCATCGCCCAATTCCGCCATGGCTATGCTGCTTCAGCTTCACCTTCGCCGTCAGCCATGGCCTCTTCATCTCCTACTTCTCTTCCTCTCTGTTTCCCCTGTTTCTTATTGCCAAGACACTCCACCTCAAAATATCGAAACTTTCTACCCAATTCTTCCTCCACCACCGTTCTTACCTGACCATCCGCCGCCGCCGCTGCCGCCCCCGTCGTCGTCGTCGACGACGAGGACCATCGTGACGGCGGTGGCTATCACTGCAGTGGGCATGGCTCTGATTTCCACGGTGTTCTTCTTTTTAATCCAGAGATACCTGGTCAGAAGAAAACAGAAAACAGAGGAGGTGAATTCGGGTCCGGGTCAGGGGCCGGTGTCGCAGCCGGCGGTTGCTCGGAATGAATTTGCGCGTGTTGATGGGAATCTTAAGGGGTTTATTGTGGATGAAGATGGGTTGGATGTGATTTATTGGAAGAGACTTGAAAGAAGGAAATCTAAGAATAGCTTTGATCGGGGTGATGGAGAAGGAAATGTTCAAGCAAATCGAAGCAAAAAGTCAGAGCCTGTTCAAGAGATTCCTTTACTTCGAGGAAAATCTTCGAGTTCTCATGTTAAAATTTCACCGGAAGATGAAGAACCCCGTCGTGTTACTCCTCCGCCACCTCCGCCACCGCCCCACATTAACAACCCTCCGCCATTTACTGGGAAGTCTGTTCAGGAAGTTGGAAAACCATCGAGCAGTTCAATTCTTTCATCATCTGCACCACCGCAACCAACGGCAATTCCGGTACCTCCGTCACAATCTCTCATGGCTGTTCCTAACAATAAGTGCTCTGTTCCACCACCACCGCCGCCAATTCCAGCCAAGACCGTTTCAAGACCGCCACCGCCGCCTCCTCCCATTGCTACCAAGACCAATTCAAGACCGCCGCCACCGCCTCCCATTCCAGCCAAGACCAATTCAGCAGCCCCACCTCCCCCTCCAATAGTGGCCAAGGCAAATCCGGCAGCACCGCCGCCGCCCAAGGCCGGCAGTTCCAAATTGCCGTTACGGCCTGCACCTCAAAAAGAGGGTAAATCCTCTGGAGAATCTTCTACATCGGCCGACAATGGTCAGGTTAAAATGAAACCTCTGCATTGGGATAAAGTGAACACCGCAAATGCCGATCATTCCATGGTTTGGGACAAAATGCAAGCCGGTTCTTTCAAGTAATCATCTTTTCAAACACCATTCTTGTTTCTTGAGCAAATTCATTCGAGTACTGATTCATTTCTTGTTTTGGCTACAGATTTGATGGGGATCTTATGGAAGCTCTGTTTGGATACGTCGCAACCAACCGGAAGTCCCCCCGGAGTGAGGCTAATTCTTCAGTAATCCCCACTGGCCGGAACTCAGGGCCATCGCAGACTTTCATTCTTGAACCCAAAAAGTCACAGAACATAGCCATTGTAGTCAAGTCCTTGACCATTCCTCGCAACGAAATCCTCGATGCGCTCAACGAAGGCCAAGGCCTCGAAACAGATATTCTTGAAAAACTCACGAGAATTACTCTGACACAAGAAGAAATTTCTCAAATTCTTGCTTACAAAGGAGACCCTCAAAAGCTTGCTGATGCCGAAACTTTCCTTTACCATCTCCTCAAATCGGTTCCATCTGCCTTTGCGCGGTTCAACGCCATGCTTTTCCGATTGACTTTCGGCTCTGATATTCATCATCTAAAGGAATCTCTAGAAATTCTGGAATCGGCCTGCAAGGAGCTTAGAACTCGAGGGCTGTTTCTGAAACTGCTTGAAGCAGTTCTCAAAGCTGGGAATCGGCTGAATGCGGGAACTGCAAGAGGAAATGCCAGAGCTTTCAACCTTTCAGCTCTCCGGAAGCTCTCGGATGTTAGAAGCACTGATGGGAAAACCACTTTGCTTCACTTTGTGGTGCAAGAAGTCATCAGAGCAGAAGGGAAAAGGTGTGTTTTAAATAGGAACAAGAGCTTGAGCCGTAACACCAGCCATGCCAGCGACAGCAGCGTTAGTACTTCCGATAATTCATCTTCGAAAGAGGACAGAGTAAATGAATACATGATGTTGGGGTTGCCAGTGGTGGGAGGTCTGAGCGCTGAGTTCTCTAATGTAAAGAAGGCAGCAACGATCGACTATGAGAGCTTCGCCAACACCGGAACGTCTCTGACCAGCCGAACTGCAGAAATCCGGCAGCTCATGGCTCAAATTGGGAACAATGGAGGTGGGTTTGGGAAAGAAATGAGAGGGTTTCTTGAGGCAGCAGAGAGTGAGCTGAAGGTGGTGAGAGAAGAACAGACGAAGGTGATGGAGCTCGTGATGAAGACAACAGAGTATTATCAAGCTGGAAGTTCAAGAGATAAGGAATCAAATCGGCTTCAATTCTTCACCATAGTTAAGGATTTTCTAGAAATGGTAGATCGGGTGTGTGTGGAAATTTCTAGAAATCTCCAGAAAAGAAGATCGTCGACAGTAAATGTGGGTTCATCGCCGGTGAGATCGAAGGCCATCTTCCCTAACCTGCCGGCAAATTTTATGTCAGACAAGTCAAGAGGGAGTTCTAGTGATTCAGATAATGAATTCTGAGCAAATCTTGTTCATAAACCGTAAACTATTTT